CCAGTTCAAGATATAAGAAGAAAGAAATTCACCTTCCAGGGGAAGCTTCATTCTAGGGGTGGAGGAGTTATGTACCAGTCTACAGAGAAGAATATGCTGAACAAGGACTTTTGCCTCCACGTTCCTTTCTTATCAGTTACAGTATTGTATTTCATTTGTTCTTTACTTTGGTTTGTATAATGAACTTTGCAGTCAGTCTCGATTCAGAACTCATTCAATTAACATCATTGTATTTGGTCTTTCTCAAAAATAAATCTTTTTAAAAACGTTTTCGTTGAAGAAAGATATTTGAGTTATATATATATATATATCACATCTATATATATATATAACCTTTAATTTCTTTGGGTAGAAGGCAAAGTGTTGCAAAAGTACACTCTTATAACTTAAACTCTCAAGCTTTCGAAGATCTATGTCTTCATCGTCTGGAGTAAGTCGGCAAGATTGTTGCTGAAATTGTTTTTAAACAACAGTGAAGGGAACACATAGTCGACGAATAAAAAACTGGACTGATGAGGTTTGATTAGAATGGAATTATTTTATTATTAAATGGCAAATCATTTTGAAAGGTTTTTTTTAATTAAACGTTGATTGATTTTGGAAGAAATTTGGAGATTTTAAGACTATCAACTATTGAAAACTCCTTCGAGATTCTTTTTTTTTCACTGATAACCTCCATATTATCCAACACGTGCCGGCCGACTGACCGGATCAATAGTTTTAAATTAACTAAAAAAAACCTTTCAAAATGATTTGCTATTTAATAATAAAATCATTCCGTCCTAATCGAACCTCATCAGTCCAGTTTTTTATTCGTCGACTATGTGTTCTCTTCTCTGTTGTTCAAAAACAATTCCAGCAACAATCTCGCCGACTTACTCCAGACGATGAAGACATAGATCTTCGAAAGCTTGAGAGTTCAAGTTATAAGAGTGTAGTTTTGCAATACTTTGCCTTCTACCCAAAGAAATTAAAGGATATCTTCTCCTAACAGTTAAGGCAATTATCTATGAATAGTATATGTATATATAGCGCTGTCTCTCGTTCGATATTGGCTCTGAGCTCCTCCAACGAGGCCGGCTTGTTGGCAAAGACCAATGATTTAATGTAGACCCACAAAAAAAATCTAGAGGTGTTAAATCACACGATCTAGGCGGCCATTCAACAGGACCATTTCTCGTTATAACACGTTCACCGAATTTTGATTACAAATTGTCGATTGTTTCACCCGCTGAGTGGCTTGTGGCACCGTCTTGTTGAAACCACATATCATTAATGTCTAGCCCATCCAATTGACCAAAAAATAACGTTGCAACATGTCTCTGTAGCGGTCTCCGTTGACTGTAACGTGACAGTCATTTTCTTCAATGAAAAAAAAAACGGCCCAATGACACCACCGGCATGAAAACCACACCAAACAATTATTTTTTGTGGATGAAGTGATGTTTCTTGAAGCACATGAGGGTTTTCACCTCACCAATATCGCATATTCTGTTTGTTAACGTAGCCGTTTAGCCAAAAATGCGTCACATCACTGAATATGATTTTGCGATGAAATTGATCATTTTCTTGCAACATATCTAGAGCCAAATTCGAGAACGTACGTCGGTTCATATGGTCGAACGGCTTTAGTTCTTGGGTTAACTTGATCTTATAATGGTGCAGGCCAAGATCTCTTCGCAAAATTCGCCATAGTGTAGTCTGAGCTATGCCCAATTCTTGAGAACGCCGGGAATTGACGCTGTTCGTTTGCGACGGAAGCTATATTCTCGGCACTTCGATCAACCCGTTGTCTCACTGACACGGGAACATCCAGCAGCGAACATGTGGACTCAATTTTTTTCACTAGAACTAGGCCATGAATTGCTTGTGTACTGGGACGAGAATTACGACCAAAAATTGGCGTTAACGCTCTTAAAGTTGCAGTCACCGACTCGGAATTTCGGTAGATTATTTTCGTTCGTGATGATGAAAATGTTTTCTTTACTGAATGTTTTGACGTCGTCAGTTGAGTAATTGATTTAAAGGTGCGTTCACAGTGAAAGTTCAAAGTTGTCAAGTCCCTATTGGAAAACCCGATATCTAACATAGATTTCAACCAATCCCAGTGATTTCTCATCCAATAGATATTGATTCAGCTTTTAGAGAACTCTAAATGGGTAATATGATTTTTGTAAAAAATGCCCTCCTTGCCCCCTGGGTACGCCCTTGTTGTAGTTTATGGAGTGCAGCTGCAGATCTAATAAAATTACTGGCTCTCCACCCTGAACGATTTGTTTATACTATATGCAATGCTTCGCCGGCGTTTGGTTGAATGAATGATGAAAATGAGATAAAGCACGTTATTGCTTTTATCATTAATCGCGTAGAACACAGGCACGAAACATCGTACTGTTCGTGCGGTTACGGATTGTATCCCCCCCTGATTTATTGCATTGCAAACATAATATTTTTCATTCTGCAATCCTTATGCGTGTAAGTAACCTGAAAATGTGTTCGTGCTGTAAACGATGTAGAGGGGTTCGAAAATGTTATGAACTATGAGATGTAGAATTATATGTTTTTGTCGTTTACGCATTCAACAATCAAGATTCCTGACATACTAGACATCTGACTATCAAGCGCACCAAGGGACTGAGAGGGGAATTAAATTCACTTTTATGGTACTCTCAGCATTATTATAGCATGGTGATGTAGTACTTAAATCGCAGGTGTCATAAAAGTAGATAAACTCGTATTTGAAATGATGTGAATACGGACTCTGAGAATTCATTCTTGGCCGACTTATAAGTATCTTATGACTGTGGTATCTTTTCAGAGAATGGAACTAACGCTGATTCAACATTTAACTTCCTATGTCTATAATAAATATAAATAACGTTAGATACGATTAGTATCAAACTTGCTTTTGACTTAAAAATGCGATCCGCTGTTTAGAAGAAATGTGATTTCAGGATACTGCCCGCCGATTAGCGTGGTAAGATGGAAACATGAGAACGGCTATGGTCATTTTTTGTGTAATGATGAAGTGGACGTCTGGACGAAAATATAGGAAGGCTGAGCAATGTTTCGAAAATTCAATATCATTCCAAAACTGGAATCGATTTCCTACCAACTAACCTTTGATATGTCATAGGAGTAGGCAACAGACTACGGTACTGCTCTCATGCTTTGACGAGCTTCTGGTTACATTAACCACTCGTAGCTTAAACGTTTCTTCGATGTGCATCGAGTAATATGGAAGAGGGACTCGTAATTTTCAAATTCATTTATTAACGACAGAAAATATTTGTTAAATGATGTCTGGCCACGATCTCTAACCTGCTAGGCAGTCTTATTATCCGGACTCTTCTCAAACTAGCGAAGTGATTCTTTTTTCTCGGATGCCTTAATGATTGGGGCTACGTTTGAATGTCGGCAGGCCGCTGAGAGATTATTTGAAATTATTCTCAAGATGCATTATTAAGGATGAAAAAAACGATTGAATCTGTCGTAAAACACGAATTCCCTGAAAAACAAAATGGGGTGAAATGGATTGATTCTGTACTTCCTAGGCCTTCGTTGTACCTAGGTTTCAAAAAACGGATGAGTCATATCGTTTCAAAAGGCGAAATTGAATAGGGATTAAGTAGGTATAATGAATCTTCGACCATATCAAACTATATAAAGCAAATCGATCATATTTCTGTTTCCATGGCAGATGTAGGGAAAATATGTATATCATGAATTAATTTTCAAAATCTACTGTTACCTAAGCGATGGAATTATTAAACTCGCGATACTATTCGAACTTCAGTTCGCAAGTTTTCTGTTGCTTAAATATATCTGCATTACACAAGTCCGTGTTTCTAATTTATGTCGGTTTATCAGTCCGTGACAATGCGTCATAAGTACTGAGTCAATCTCCTTCAGGAAATATTCAGAGAATCATAGATGGAGTAATACAAATTAAAGGTTAGACGAAATGGATGGTACATTTAAGGATCATAAATATGTAGATATAAAAACCTGTAGTGTTGTGTCAGTGACGACATCACCGCAGAGTAGTTGGAGTTTTTTACCCATTATCCATTACATAATCGGTAGTGGCCTTTACGGCAATGCAGCAGAGCGTCGTGATCGCAACGCCAACGATTGCCGCGTTATTTCAAATTATGGGCCCAGTACACATCGGACTTAAATCATTTAATTTTCTACTTATTACTGGGATCAGAAGCTTCTTTACAACCCCTTAATCCCTACAACCCCCAAACCCCCAAGTTGGGCTTGACCTTACAAAAAATTTCCCGAAAATTATCAGGAGCCTCTGAAACGTCAAACAACGAAGAATTTTTTAGTGTTTTTGCCCATAGCTCCGCCACCACTAGACCGATTTCCAAAAACTATAAAGCTTTTTCATCATTGACATAGTAGTAACCTTTTGTGAAGATTTCATCAAAATTTGAGCAGTGCTTCTCAAGTTATAGGCGGTTATAAGACCGACATACAGACCGACTGAAATAATATCTCAATTTCGAAATGTTTCGCGATTACAATAATTCCTCGCCAGTGTTGGCAGGAAGTAAACATTAGAACAAAAAGCAATCTTAGGGCTGTTCATGTCAATAGTTGTACTGATACGGGATTTTCACCATACCTGCCATGTTGGATACGATGCTGTGATATGGTATAATGAGAAAAGACCTCACATAGTTATGCGTACGTAAACTGCTTGAAATCATTATTATCCAATTTTTTTAAAACTCTCTATAACAGCTTGTGTTCAGACATCGTTTTCAGAATTGTAGAGGTATAAGTGAAATCTCAAACTCTCTTCGGACATTCCTGCATATTACAATAATTTCTTGTATTAATCAACGCAATATTTTAGTTTCGGTTAAATTACTTTGATCGATCTCGTTTTGGTTATTTTCGTGAATTGTAATCAATAAGGGTCGTTCATTTTTGTTATAGTATTTACACAAAATTGTTAATAATTATTGTTTTTCTTATCCTAATAGGTAGGCCTGGAACGTGAAACAGGCGTAATAAACGGCGACTTCTCGGATGATGTCCTGTTTCTGCGGCAACTGATCCTCGACGGCCAGTGGGATGACGCGCTGGAGTTCGTACAACCATTGGAAGCACTTACAGCATTCGATGCCAGGAAATTCACATACTCGATACTGAAACACAAATACATCGAATTGCTGTGTGTCAAATCGGAAGCTAATATCCAAGGTACGATTCATCGAACTTGTTGTTACATCATTCAATACAAATATTTTTCTCGTTTTATCAAAGAGGGATTTTAAAAACTGTTTATCAACGTTGTTCTCTAAATATAGAACGGGATATTCTGTGGATTACTGTTAATATCTTTTTCTCAGGAAATAATTTAAAATACAATAAAGTTCAAGCAAGGGCGTCGCCAGGGGAGCAGGGGGGCAGTTGTCCCCCCTAGAAACCTGAAAAATGTGAAATGCAAATCAATAAAATTCATAAGTACACTCAGTGCTTGATCGATTATTCCCGCACGTCGAAACTCGAACGAGTTCACCACTTCCATTCCTAATATTCAAACTCTAAGTTATAATAAATAAAATAACATAATTCAAGTTTCATTTACACATTGGACTTTATACTGTTCTTATTACAATCACCATACTACACGTGTAAACTTTGATGTGCTATTGACTTTACCTACAATTTCTACATTTCTCATTCATCCTGAAGTTGCCCCCTCCCCCTGGGCGATTGGCTGGCGACGCCCCTGAGTTTAAGTTACGTGCAGAAACTTCAGCATAGTTGCTAGTGAATTTTTAATTGAAGCGTATAGAGATTATTCGATAAGCTGAAGATGGTTTTCTCGATCCACAGATTTTTTTCCAATTAGGACCATCATAAATGTATACCTCTCCATTAAGCAATTTTGAAGAATTAAGAGTTGGATAATTGCTAGGTGTACCTCGAAACCCTGGGCTCTGGTGCTTTTTATAGTATTCTACACTCCGTGAGGAATAAACCATAAACTGACTGAAGATGGTCATTTTGAACAACGTTTATAGTTTAAGAAGCTGCACATGGCATTGCTGATAATGATGACAATAACATTTCATGCATTACTATTTACGAGAATTTCTGTCGTCCTCATCTTAATCGAAGGAAGTAGGGTGTTCTAATAGGTACTTTGAGATTTAAATTTAGCGCTATTTTTAATGACTTAACGTGAGGTTCTTTTTACGACGGAAATGCATCAGAGGTGTGCATACGTACTATGAAAAGTCACTCTCATTTTCTCATAAAATTACGTTGCCATGGCGGAACGGAAATGTTAACAGAGATCGTTCGATAATATACATGTTAACAATATGATTTTTCAACAAGATAGGATCACATGACAAGGAAACGTTTGGAATTGTTACATACACGTTTTCCTTATAGCCGCGTGATTTCTCGCAACTTTGATGTGCTATCGAATCCAGCTCGACATGTCTTTTGGGAATTCTATAGATAAACTATATTCAAACAATCCTCAGATGGCCCGAGACAAGACGTTTCGCAAGTTAATTGTTAAACTGAGCTGCAGTTGTGCCAAAAACTTCAGGCTGAGGGGGAGGGCCTTTGCTGGATATTTTTTTATAAATCAACTTCCATACTTCTGCAATTTAATAATGCCAACAAGCATGATGTTTTTCCAATATTGCTGATTTTATTTAAATTGGAACACCCTCTAGTTTTTGGGACATCGTTAGAACGCCGTTTGATCAAATTTGTTGTATTCTAGGTAGTAGCGTGGACAATGCAGTTGAAGAAGTAGTGAAGGTGCTGAATGAGCTAGAAAAATACTCACCAAGTAAAGAGGATTACTCAACGATGTGTCTGTTGTTGACGCTGCCTAGACTCACTGATCATTTACAATACAAAGACTGGAACCCGAGTAGCGCAAGAGTTCAATGCTTTCGAGAGGTATGTATATTTCTCAATATCGGTAGGTGCTCTTGTCGCTCGACATCAACAAAGCTTCTGGTCGTGACCTGGTTCTCGTCGTTGTATTGAAGTGGAGGTTGCTCCAGTTCTGTCGCGTCTCTTCCAGATATTTTACGAATACTGGCACTTTCCCAGAAAACTGAAGATTTGCTCATGTCCAGCCCATTCAGAAAATATTATCAAGTCCGGCCCATCCCATAAATATGCACTTACAACTACAGGCCTTTAGCTCTGCACAAATAGTATCTTCTGGAGTACCTTGAACGTCAGGGCTTGGTCACGACAACAGGTACTATGATTTCCGGCACCAGCAATCGAAGGGACACCACCTAACTTACGTCACGCAACTCTGGAGTAAATTCAACCAGTCTTATGATGAGACTCATGACGTTGCTCACCTATTAATCCTATCGCCTCCCAGATAAGCCTTGCAGGTGGGTGGCTAGCTTCCTCTCTGGCCGCAATAGATTCTCCTCTTCATCCTACAGTGTCAATGCGGGTGTTCCCCAGGAATCGTTTCGGCATTGTTTCTCTTACATATCAGAGACCTCCTTTCTTGTATGATCAATCCTATTCACAGCTTTGCAGATGACAGCACTCTACATGCAGGTATTCAGAAGGGCAAGCCGACCTCCTCTGGCAGGAAATTTGGAGGTTTTCAGTGCTTGGTCACGCAAGAATCTCGCACAGTTTAATCCTCCCAAAATACAGTTCCTTGACCAACAAGAAACGTTCTAGCGCTGATCTGGTTTCTATGGATGGGCGAGGTCTACCAGAGAGCCCTGTATTTCGACTGGCCCAGAGTCCAGGTCACCGAGAACTTATCAATAGCGACACCTGCTGGAAAAAAGGCTAAGATGTACTTCTCTAAACATATCCTGCTCACATGTATGGGCTGTCCGACTGATCGATGACTCCTCTCTAATGGACAATCTCAGGACCACTTCGACCGATGCGCCGTCGGCGAGCTAGCCTTTTACCCCTATTTCAACGGGCTTTGCTCTTCAGAGGTCTCCCCCTCTAACCGTGTCTAACTTCTTGAGTCCACTGGCAGATACTACCGCTCCTTAGTCTACCTGAGGAGGCTTTTTCTCAGTTTTTCTAATCTTAGATAGTTCAAACTTTGGATTAACAAAGTTTCTTTAAGCTCTTCACAGCAGCCGCGGAGCGCTGGCAATTAGACTTCTACCTACGCGGCTGCTTCAGTATAAAAAAATAAATTTTAGTCAGTAGATAATTCTGGGTGGAATTGGTCCGAGGATGCTGCTAGTCTACTTTTTATTCAGTTTTATGACGCTACCTTTCTTCACCATAGAACGTTTGTCCATAGTAACCAAAAATTCAAATGGTAACTTCTTAGTTGATTAATGTTATTCCTGAAATTTATCGTATGGTTTTCATCTTCATAGGATTCTATTGTGGTTTGATTCAGCCAGAAAATGGAGTTCTTCTTAGTTGATTTGTTGTATGTGGCTCAGCCGAGTCCAAAAAAAAACTTCTATAAAACTCCTCTTGTGTTGATTAGACGATTCTATTTTTTTTAATTTAAGCTAGATCTAATTTATTTTAATTTAGATTTGACGCTAAATTATAACTAAGCTAATTATATCAGAAATTGTTTGACGTATGCCACTGGTATCTTATGAAATGTAATAGATGCATTTATTGAGATAATGTATCGTGCATCGTTGTGATAATGAAAAACGTAATGTACTTTTTTGCTGCAGGTGTATCCTTTAGTAGCAGAATTCTTACCAGGTGACAAGAAACCGCCACACGAGGGCAATACGTGTGCAAAAAACGATAGACTGATACAACTCATTATCAAAGGGATATTATATGAATCTTGCGTGAACTATTGTCAAGCAAAAGCTACTGGAGCGGAAGCACATTCTCAGGTAAAATAATTTTATGAAGCTAAAAACAAGTAAGTGTTTAAAAAAATACAAAAAGCCTGACTGCAGTTACAGACAATAATTAATTTTCAATTGCGCTATCAAGACGAATACCTCAAATGTCGAGGTCCCCAAAAAACTGTTTGGGCTGTAGACCGTGAAGTAGACATTTCCAGGTTGAGTACGCCAATCTGATTTTATGAAATACATCTAGTAACACTCGCTCAACTAAGTCGAATCCAACAACACCTCATAAATCCATCAATCCATTTGGACTGTAGCCAGTAAAATAGAATTTTCTGTCCACATCCATACATACAAACAGACACGCGAAAAACATAACCCTCGTTCTTAAAAAGTTTGGTAGAAAATATTTTTGATTCTGGTTTATAAATTCTAGTCAAAGACTGTCGCGTGATTAAATCTAATCAAAAGAGATGCATTTAAAATTCTACATTCATCTATATCTGAGTGTATAACTGAGTTCAATTAATGAGGATTCATGTAAACTTATTTTAAGCGAGCCAGTATTAGATCCTGGCTTTAACTTAAGGGAGGACCAAAAAGGTGTTATAAGGCTGAATGATCTACTGAACAACTCGGTTTGTAGTTATGGACGCCCACAGGAATTTTTCTCAGGGAGGTCGACCATCGACAAGACATAACTTTTTATGATAGTGTACCTGCTTCCAAAACTATATGAAGAGTGTGGGTAGCAATTTTTCCAAGTAGGGCCACATCCAGAAAAGCACCAAAATTGTACACAAAATCATAATTCATACGAGATTTGTCCGGAAAATACTTATAAAAGTGGAATGATAAATTTATTTTGCAATTGTTCAGGTATTTCAATATGGTATCCTCTGAGATAAGACGCACTTCTGCCAACGCCATTTCCACTGTTGATATGATCGCTGAAAGTCTTCAATTGTGAGGCTCCTCATATGCCTGGCTTAGATAAGTATGGTCATACGGGCTGGGCCTTAGAATTAAAGTCCATCATGTGTCTACACTTTATATAATTTAAGCTTTACCATCCGAACAACCTGGCTTAGATGAAGATCGTTTCTGTCTTGATGGTTTCCTCATCCCGAAATTGCCGCCCACTAAGCTCCATTTGGCATTTTAGGAACAGGAAGAAGTCGCAAGGCGCTAAATCGGGTAAATAAGGCGGGTGTTTTATCACGGTGATTGAGCTTCGGGCCAAAAACTCACGCACAACGAGAGACGTGTGGGCAGGCGCATTGTCGTAATGAAGGATCCACCTGCCAAATCCGCCAGAACTCGGGCCACACGGGTTCTGAGATGACGCAAAACTTCGATATAGAAATTTCCATTCACTGTTTGGCCGAGAGGAACAAATTCCTGGTGAACAATGCCCCTAGAATCAAAGAAAATAATCAACATTGTTTTCACATTACACCTTAATTTTTTCGACTTCTTTGTTCTCGGTTCCCCTGCTTGCTTCCACTCCAGGCTTTGAGATTTCAGCTCCACATCGAATTCTTAGAACGAAGACTCGTCTCCAGTGATGACCCGGTTGAGAAAGTCCCCCCTTTTCTCTGCTCCCAGCCAATCCTCACAGCAAGCAACCCTCCTTGCTTTCTGTTCTGGAGTCAAGAGCTTCGGAAAGATTTTCACGCACAATTTTTTCATTTCAAGTTTTTCTGTCAAAATTTCGTGGACGTCTATTTTGGACGTTGACAGTACCTCAACCATCATTCTAACTGTCCATCGACGGTCTTTAAGAACACAGCCCCGAATTCGTTCAACATTTCCCTCATAGTTCGATGTGGAGGGGCGTCCTGAGGGTTGGTCATCTTTCACATCTTCTCGGCCTTCCCGAAACCTTTTCAACCACTTGTTGACGGTTGGTTCCTTCGAGGAATTGTTTCCGTAAACTTGTTTTTTATACTCCAACTACCACGAAGGCCTAAACACCCATGGGGTACCGTGGGGCTATAGGGGGATACAGGGGAAAGGGGGAACGCCACACGGACTCTGGCGATGGAACTCGTGTGCATGCAACATGCACACATCCTGGTCCCGCCTACGAGACCCGCCGGGTGGTACCTCGCCGTTCGACAGTCAGAGACCGTCTACCACCTACAGACAATCACAACATCCATAGCCAAGTGAAAAATTTCGAGAATTCGAACCCGCACAGCGCACGGCGACTGATCAGGCGACCGGAGAGTCTACTACTGCAGCCTGCTGTTCCAAACACTCAAAAATCTCAGGACCATTCTTGCCTAGTTTTGTAAGAAATTTGATGTTGATGCGCTGTTCTTCGATCAGAGAGAGCTAATGCCGACGTAAAAAAGGGTCACTTCCAACAAGCACACGTAAATCCTACTTACTCGCAGAGCACTTCGGCTCGAACTGAGCATAGAGGGTAACCCCTCCACAACGCCGTGACACGATGCCCCGAATTTTTTATACGTATTTTCCGGACAAACCTCGTATCCAAATTTAAAAATCTAACCGGATTCCCAGGGGGGTCACGGCCCCTTCTGTCCCCCTCATATCTTTAAATTTAATTATTGAAGGGTGCAGGCCTGCCCCGTCTCCGCTAACTCATTTTAAGTTCCCAGAGTGCTCACTGATGTCGCAAATAATATAACCCTTATTGATGGTTTTATTTAATATTTCACGTGACAACTGTCTCGTTCCGCTGCAAACGCATGGCATCGAACGTCAGCTGGAGTACTGCTAATTAAAAAAAAAATAATGTTTTTTTATGGGGTTGTCTTTTAATAAAGTAAAATATACCATTTACAGTGAATATTAAGCCAAATTTATGATAAATATAAAATTAAATAAGAAAAACCATGGTTTATTTGAATTTGTTCAAAAATCAAAAAAATCTGCCAGGAACAAAAAGACTGTGATTTTTATCAATCCTGACACAATATAAATCGCACCTTATTGGTTCTGCCTTAAGTTACCTCCAGGGTACGTTTAAAATACGTTTGCATGAGTTCACTATAACTTATTTCAATTTTTTTGATCTAGGAAATGAGCTTCAGCCGACTACTCGATGGAACTGTAGGCTTTAGTGACTCGGACCTCAGTCTACTGTCATGGTTACAAAGCGTTCCTCCGGAAACGTTCTCAGTACCGTTCGAGCAACGTACCCTCAACGTCGATGTCGAGCGGCTAGAGCGGCCTTCGTTGGAGACTTCCTGGACTGAACACATGCTGGTCACTCCAATCAAGCCAAAGACTTTTCCTCATTCAGCAATGCCGTTTACAAGACCTAGGTCGGCGGCTGATATAATGACTAGGTGAGACATTGTGGGATTTCTAGAGAGAACGAAAAATATGTCAAACCTTCGTTTTTTAAGAACGTCGATTATCTGACACATTTTCTTTTGTATTGACTTTTACAGTATGAAGTGAATTTCGTGCATTTTTTCGTCGCTATGGTGGGTTTTGATTGTGTAAGTTTCCACTTTATTCGCAAATCGACAAATGGAGAAGTTTCGTGATGGTCAGAATCGCATAATTAATGACATATCAGCAAAATATAGATGAAATATAATCAACCAGTAAAAACATTATTGAAATCAGCCAATAAATGACAGAGAAATTGATACTTAAATTTGGCGCATGACAGCGCGATATCATTGCTGCCGTCAGTTCGCGTCTGACGTCACACTTCACTAGTGACGAGCACTGCGTAAGGTGCTACCATCGAAAAATTTATCAATATACCTATTGTTCGCTCAACATTTATACGTAGGGCTGCTATACGTTTTCTTTCCATTATTTCCAATTTTGAACTAGTTTTGTCAGCGGCAACGCTGTAGGTCTTACCAAATGACATCCTCTAGCTTTTAGTAATTTCGATTCATTTTTAAATCGTCTATCAGCCATAACAGAACGTCCCGGTTGTAAATGTTGCAATGGGTGACAGTCCTCAAATATTGTGGGTCACTTGTCCTTCATCCTTAACCCTCCGAAATAAAATTGATCAGGTCTGATAGATATCAAATATTTGATGGTGTTGCAATGTTCCTATTTTTATTTCAAAGCAGTCCAAAATGCTCACAGTTTTGGAATATCTTTTTCTGAATGATATCGGTAGCTTCTCACGAATTTCTTTCAGGGGCGGAAGAAAATAAATTGGTGAGGGTACGTAGAAAAAATGTTTGTTAGGGGTTGTAATTGTTGTGCTCGTACATTTTGGAACGATACAATATTTATAATAACCCTTTTTTGTTATTTTGCTCATAACCGATCGTATATGCAGTGAACTAATTAAACAAATTGGCGCGGAAGACGTTTAGGTTACCACGTGTTTCCGCTGTATGTGTACCTGTACGTGTGTTTAGGAAATTGAGTCGGCCGCGGCCGTTGCAACTGGATGGTGAAGTATGACGTCACGCGTCGCGTTCAGATGGAATAAAAATATTCTCGCGGGGCGCAACTTTGATAGGCTGTAACTTTTTTGTTGTTAGAGATAAATTAATAATTAATTTTTTCACCATCTTGTTTCATTTTTTAATTCCTTTTGAGCTTATAACAAAAAATAGTAAACTTGTCCATTGCGATCATAGGTGGAAAATTATCCAAACAAAAAAAATAACGAACAAAGCGTTTAGACTGATATCCGATTTTTTCCATGAAACCTTTGGATAATAAGCAAACGTTTAAAGTCATGCATTTTGCTATGGTAGTAAAATTAAGTAGTTGGTAGAAAAAAATTAATCATAGCTTTTTCAATTAGTTTAAATTTGATCCATGATTTTTTATCCGTGTTTTTTAATAACTTACTTTTTTTCAGATCACTAATGCCAGTTTTAGATAGGGTAGGAAATGATGGTGTGTGTAATGGATCTGCGCGAGCAATGGCTATGAGCACAGGTGATATTGGTGCAAATGGACCTATGTCTAGGAGTAGCTTTGCCAGTTTTCACCTAACAGGTAAAAAACTTCACTGGCAAATAATGTTTTTCCTCATTTGTTTGTGTTTTGTATACGAGTCTGTTTTGCTGTTTGCTTTTAATTTTTATATCTTCCATCATATAATATTTTTTAAAGTTTTTTCTAAGCATCGTTTTTGATCCTGCTATGTACTCTGTTGATGCACGTTTATCTTTTGGTCATTATTTCATGCATAGGCTAGGGTGCTGTAAAAAAACGTTTTTCTGTTTTAAATTTTCTTATATTCTCTTTGTATTTTTTTGTATTTGCATGTACTTGCATTTTTTAAGCCCTGGTTGGTTCTGAAAAATAGCTTATACTGATGTCAGGTAAAAAAGGTCATTTGTTATTATTCCTATTATTATTGTACAATAAAACAACAACAATAATAGTTTTCTATTACATCAAGTAAAGGTTCAAATATTTTCAATTTACAACACAACAGATGATACAGAAGCTCTCCAATTTTGCCGTTAAGAGGTAGTGTCGAATGATACACCAAAAAGTTTAATAGGCTGCCATTGTGAAGGTAATTCAGATTCCTTGTCCAACTTTTGTTTAAGGTATTAATTTTAACATAGGAAATAGTTTTAATTGATTTTCGATACGTTGTTTTTTAATTCTTGCCAGGTTTTCGAATAATTAGATCTTAGCGCTAAATATGTCAAGTTGCAACTGTAAAATCATAAAACGTCGTATCTCATTTTACGTTTATACCTATTTGATCTGGTAGAATTTCATTTCGTTTGTCATAATGGGGCCAGACATAGGTTTTATAATTCATATGCGTCTTGCATGCCAATTGATTCGTATATGAATTTGTTTGTACTCCATAGTAAGAATAATTGATTGTTTATCAAACACATTTTCCTTCTAGGTATAAAAACGACGAAGCTGATGAACACCTCCGTTGACCGGCTGTTCGAGAACGAAGGCGAAGTGTTCCTAAGCAACAGTTACGTGGACTTCCAGCAGCTGCCTTCAATTCAAGAGCAGACTAGCACGCCCAAAGTAAACACACCGTCTGGTATGCAAGGAGGGGCGGCGAATGCAGTGGGGCAGCAACTGCCGCCCAGAAGCCCGGAGAGGAAGGTTTCGAATGCATCTACGCCAGAACACAGGGGCAGAGAAAGCCCAGCTTCGCTAGGAACCGCTAGGTAAGTTAACTATTACAGGGCCCGCCTCTCGATCTGTAACCTTTTCAAAATGCCATAAATTCGGTTTGGAAAATGATTTTTATTTATTCCAAAGTATTGAATGTGTGAAACTATTCATAAAAGCAGAAATAATTCGCTTTGGCCCAATATGACCATCTTTTGCCTTGACTATAGCATTGAGACGGTCCAAAAACGAATCACAAGCTGCTCGAATGTAACTTGACGATATTTTGGCACACTCACAGATAATTCCTTTTTGGATAGGTGTATAATAGTCACTAATGTTGCGAAATGTACCTCAAAATTGGGCTTTTACCTGGGTAGTTGTGATTTTTTGAAAAATGCAAAATATTGGAGTCAAACTAAATTTTTTGATGGATACTGAAGAGGTACCAATCAAAACTTTAATCCAAACTAAAATTCAACTTTATCTAATCCAATTTTAAATCTAAAAGCTCTTAGAGAAGGTACGTTCGCCTTATGACCAGTAATTTTACGATCTCACTTTAGTGCCAGGAGATTCTATGGAAGAAGCTCAGTACGCTCAAAAAACACTACTGATATCAAATAAATTAAAATACTTTCAAATCTATTTATTGGATATAGTGACAACCAGCGGGATATAGATCGATATATATATATGCTTTATTGTCTGACGAATACAATCATTCTCCATCGAGAAAAGTTAAATTAATACTAAACTATACTAAGTGACATATAAATCCGAACACCCAGTTTAAATGGTTTTATTTTAATAAAAGTTGGTGAATGTATTTATCTTACTGTAAATAACAAGTGAAAAAATTTTTAGCCTTATCAGTTGGACATTCCGGTTTTTATACTGCTTTTTTTTAATTCACTAACGCTCTAAAAATGAATATTTCAGCCGCAGTAAAGAATCAACGTTGGCGGATTTTGGTTCTTGACATCCTTTACGATCGGTTACGATACCTAGAGTACGGAGACCTGTACGATTTCGTCAACTTAGTGAGTTTTATAGGGGCCGTATAGTGGAACTTCTGGAAGCTGGACTTGCTTTTCGGGCAATTGCAGTTAGAGTGCAAAGAAGTGTAGACACTGTGGTTAGGCGTTGTCAGGCATGGCTTCGAGAAGGCCGTACGCAAAGAGCAAGGGGCACTGGACGCCGCCGTAGAACAACAGACCGTGAAGATCGCCGCCTAAGATTATTGGCCTTAATGGACCGTTTCTCCACTACCAGGTCCATTGCAAATGAATGGTTTGCAGAACACGGAAGACCTATTGGCATGCGAAGTGTTTACCGACGAATGAGAAGTTTTGGCTTGTTTTCATACCGGCCACACTGGGTCCTCCCTTTAACTCGAGAACACCGACGTAATCGCCTTGAGTGGTGCAGACAACGGTCACTCTGGGATCAGGAATGCAACAGTATTGTCTTTAGTGATGAGTCTCGATTTTGTTTAGGCATGCACGATGGTCGTGCCAGGGTTAGAAGGCGACGTGGTGAAAGGAGGAATCCACAGTTTTTTGTTGAAATACAGGTTCATCACACTGTTGGAGTTATGGTTTGGGGTGCTATAGCTTATGGTTCCAGGTCACCTTTAATCTTCATCAGAGGTAACATGAACGCGCAGCGTTATATCCACGAAGTTCTAGAACCCCATCTTTTACCCTATCTTGACACCCTGGCAGATCCAACTTTCCAACAAGATAATACCCGACCACATGTTGCAAGAGTCACAATAGACTTTTTTCAACATAATGATGTCACATTGTTACCATGGCCACCAAGATCTCCCGACTTATCCCCAATTGAGCACGTGTGGGATATGATGGGTAGGAGATTGCTCAATTTGCAACGTCCTCCTCAGACTCTAGAAGCACTTCGAGAGGAGTTGGTGGTTGCCTGGAATGAGATACCACAGGAGGACATTGACCAACTGCTCAGATGCATGCCTAGGCGCGTTGGAGAATGCGTAGCACATCAGGGTGCATCCACACATTATTAAAGGTCAAAGGGCTTTAAAGCAGTGCAATCATTTTGAAATTTTTATCATTTACTTATTATGCTTCATTCATTACTTATACAAAATTTTATTAAAATAAAACCATTTAAACTGGGTGATCGGATTTATATGTCACTTAGTATATATATATATATATAAATATTTAGACCATTATAAATTATTGAGCCTTTCACAGTGTTGTTTTACGAATTACTAATTAAAGATATTGTTTTCATCTAATATTGTAACATATTTGTTGTTTCAAATTTGTTAAAAATAAGAGTTGCTGTTACTAAAATGAACGGTGATACGACAGTCATTATTTCAAGATTTACAAATAAAGGCCTGCACGTAGCTCCAGGATGGCTTCTAGTTATATATCTATCAGTTCTTTTTTATAGAATAATCACCTTTTTATACAATTTTGGGTACAGACACACCAAAAGGGATTGCCATATCTCAAACTTCTTTCAAATAAGGCAAAGTAAGTGCTTGAAGCTATGCTGTTTCATACGTTCTAACTAATTGTTCTTATAATGAAGAATATTTTTGCTAGCTGATTAAACAATTTGTCGACATGATTAGTAATATCTAATTTATGCTCACTGGTCAGTCAGAAAATTTTTATCCTGCCTGTTCTGTGTTTCAATTCACTATTTAAATTTATAAAAACAGGAGAGCATTTAAATGTCATAAATTTTGTCTGACTAGCATTGAAATACAAGTAATTGTTGTCACGCCATTTTTTGATTGATTGTATGTCGCTATCAATTTTTGACAAAGCATTGTGGTATCGACAGCAAAGACTACGAATTTACCATTTAAGTTTATTAAATCATTGATATAAACGTCGAATTGGATCGGACCTAACAGTGATCCTTGAGGTACCCCTGTGTGAATATATAATTTGTTTGAAATATAATCTTTTGACAAATTTGCAGTTTGGGACTGATTATTTAAATATGTTTGAACCAATGAGTGAAATACAAGCATATTTGTTTATTTTTTAACTAGTATATCATGACTTACACATTCAAAAGCTTTGGAAATGACGCAGCAAAGAGCTTTTGAAAATTGTTTATTGCTTGAATTTGAGTATAGTCATAGGGAAGCAGTAAGTGTTTTCCAAGCAGCGTTTAGTCGTAGTCGAATTATACCGAATTCTGCGGGAGTATCATTGGGTTTACCTCGCTTCAGGCAATTTTAGTTTTGTAACTTATTTTTCGTTTGCTACATATCTATTCAAACCAAACAAGATCGGGAATATACGCGTTAATTATTCTGGGAAAATATAATTTTCTTCGGTTAGACCAATTTATCTTTCATTTTTTCAGATCATCACGTCGCGATTCCCTGAACGAGCGTCCGATTAGTACCGCGGCCGCGAGCGCACACAGTGTAGGGTTAACCGCACCGCCTCCAACCGCGGGCGGAGGTGCGGAACCAACCCTCGCGACGGAACCCCTGGAACAGAGCTTTTCCGGTGAGCTGGTCAAAGAGTTCCAGAAGCAGAAACTGAAACTGCAAGAGACGCTGGCTATCAGGGAACGAGAACGAGAGGAGATGATCAGGCAGCTCAACAGCGACAAATACGCAGAAGACTGGTAAGTGATGTTTCGTTTTTTGTTTTCAGAAGACCTGGGCGGGAGGGAGTGGGCCTGTCCATAAAAAAAATATTTTTTCAAATATGAAATCTTATACTTAATTCTGTGACAAATTTGTTTAGAAAAATGTATCGCTGAAATTGGTTCTCAATTCTTGAGCATTATAATCCTGTCACAGAAATAATATTTTTTAATAAACTTCATGTAAAATCTGAGATTTATCAGGTGGTTTTCATGTTGATAATCTCCCATGCTTGTCTGGCCGAATCAAAACCATATATGTTTAAAATTTCCTCATTGAACGACGTTTCGGTCGTAACGGTGACCTTCAAGCTCACTTAACACTTTTTGACAATGTATTTTATTTATCTGCGCGTTTATATCTTCCAAAGCCGCTGTTCAGTGCTTTTGAATTGAGAGTTGTGTGCACCCGGAGGGTATCATGTAAGAAACCTATAAAACGTCAAAAAAAATCTATAAGATGTCATCTTGCAAACTAGGTAGTTTTTAGGGCGCAAACAGTCATTCCACGTTTGTTCACTAGGATCGTTGTGAACGTCCATCTAAGGAGGAATCACTCAACTAAACTACACGCAATATTGGTTGCATATGTTCTGTGAGGCCAAATGGTCCTTGTCTGTATTTTTTATCTCTGAGAAGAAAGGATGATTAGGTGTATCGGTCTGAATGTGTATAAAATCAGTGATATTTGCTGTGTGAGAAAGTTATTACTGAATATGCTGCCAATGAAGTATATCTATTGGCTGTGCCCGATCGGTTATTTTTACGTTGTGCTTTCTGAAGAGAGGTTATGTTCAAAGTTATAAATTACGAAAAACTGAAGAGAATTGCGGGAAATCATCTCCGCGCCCGCGTTGTATGTAATTACTGTTAGCATATATGGCTTGTAATTCGAGAGTGTACAGTGAATGTAATTATTTCTTAACTCTCTCATTTTTGAAATTCAGCAAATTTGTATATGTAATTTCCAGAAGAAGCATAAGAAAAAGTGGATGCGCAACTAATTTCTAGCTTTGAATCTCAATTAAGTGTATTTGAGACAAGAACCCAGAGTAACTTACAGCTAAGACCTCCAGTAATGCCATCTCAGAAGCAGATTCTACATCACATCAGAGCCAAAGATTAATAACAAGCCTCATGACGTTTAGGCAACACGTACAACTAAGTACTATATCAAAAAAAAAACAGCATAATGTCAAAAAAATTGACATAATGTCACTTTTCAAGATACGTGATACCCGTGCCGAAGTGCTCTAGCCAATGTTTACGGGAACGGGATGATAATCTAACATGTTTTTTGATGTTTTGCTTTGCCGTTGACAATTTGTATCACACTGCCAAACAATGAAAATGTAAACACATTTTACCTTTATTTTTAGAAGTATTTTCAGACTATCGAATTGATGCCTGATGATGCTTTTAGAATGATGGCACAACACGTCAAAAATCTGCATTTTTATTGTACTAATATTTTAGGGTAGACATTCAAAATTATTTTCAAAGTGTCTATTTATAGATGAAGCGAACTACAAGCCGCTATGAACCTGCATTCTTGCACTCTCTTGTGATCTTTATTATTCAGGAACAGGTACGTTGTGACTTTGGGTCATACCATTATCACTTTCTTTCTATCCTCCATTGTCTGGTACTGGTAATGTGAGTTTAATGCAAAAAAACAAAAACGATGAAAAACATAACTTTACAATCTTGACACATTGTCATTTTCGTTATCCCCACTATTTCGGAGCGTATAACACCGAATCAAAAGCTGGTGCATGAGGCGGCAGGGGATTTCAAAAATGAGTAGCTCAGGTGCATGACACTCTAGAGCTGTGGAACGGTATTGACAGGTGGTGGGCAGCTCCGAGTTACTCCGAGTAACACAAATAAGGCACTTTGCTTGTTTTTTCTTTCATTTTCATATTCGTGTAGAGTGTATTATGCCCTTGATTATTCTGACAGTTGCCCTTCCCACAAACACACAGAACACAGAACTGAGAATAGGGTTGATACACGCACCTGTTGATCCTTTAACGATTATAATCAAATTCAAACGAATAACCAAATGAAAATGGTATTTACCATTTTGGATTGGTATTTACCGATCCGTTCAAGCGAGTGTGGTTATCAGTTTGATTATAAGATCCGTGACGTCATAAATCAGCTATTATATGTCATAGTTATCACCGCAAAATTGTGGTATTTACCCAACTCAGGAGTGGTTTTATATTTCTGGTTATTATTTGAAATGTGACAAGTTAGAATTTTTCCGGGTATTGGATATTTTTGTTGTAATTCGGTTTCATTTTTGGGAAACAGGCTGACTTCAGTTGTAACATAGAGCACCTTATTAGTTATACTCATTACCTTGTTGGGTACACTTTAAATCTAGTTCCTATGCTTAACATAGTGTCCTGTGTAGCCATATAGCACAATATTATTAAAATATGGCCATATAAACTCACTGCTAAATCAATAAATGTTTTCTTTGACATGCGGAAAAGTTTAGAGAATTGAAAGTTATCATAGCTACAAATCATTAAAAAATATCTTCTGAAAAAAAAACATATTTCTCCTATTAATATTATGAAAGGTTTCTTTTTTAAATTTTCCAAACACTGTTGTAGACGAAAAAGCACCGATTTAAAGTGATAATAAAAATAATCAGAAATTATATACGGGGTTATCTAAAATAAACAACTTACAACAAAACCGCAGTTAAAACCAACGCGTTCAGGCGATTCGAGTACTGACATCATCAACCCGTGTGTCATCTTAAACCATATAACCGCGGTACATAACAGAAATTTTGGTTATTCGCTTGGATCTGATTTATAACTGTAACTGGAATATAAGTAAATTAATGATTAATAACGTACTTGATTGTTTTTTGAATTCTTCTTAAAGAAAACAATTGATGACTCCATAGAAACTCAGTTGTTGTACGTACATTATGTTGTCATCTTATATCGTTTTTTTATCGATAACGTTTCACGGAAAATTTTAAACCACACAATACAAACATAAAAGGCACAAAACAATAGGTTAGGTTGTATACATGGATTGACGTTTGACATATACACTATTTCACGAGTATCCATCACGCTAGAATGACAGCTGGTTATCTAGTAATATTTCAAAATTCCCCATATCGGCAAAGGACACATAATTCTGACGGATCCGTCAATGTCAGGTGGACAGAGCCATATTTGTTTTGGTTTTTTGAACGCAACATATTCATTTTGTACTTGCTAAAAGCAGTTTTATTTAAAAAAGTTCACTTGCATACAAAAACAAAACGCTACAAACATATTTTTGCTAGATTTGCACCAGATTTATTATAGCCAACGTTGCAGACTAACACAAAAATGTCACTTGCTGATCAAGTATTCAGGTCAGTAGACGTCAAACCGTCATGGATACTCGTGAAATAGAGTATACAGGAATCGCATAGAAACCACCACCTGAGCAAGGTTGTTATTGGTTTTAACTGTAGAAAACAGTGACGTTACAAAGGGCCAGTCCGTGACGTAATCATTTGAGAGCTGTTACAAGTCTCTTAAAATGGAAAAGTCGAAACCGAACACTACCGATTATGAGTTGTAGATCGCTTAAAATTGCTTTCTATTCCTGTCAACTGCTGCTACGTATTGCTTCTTCCAAATCCAAGCTCGGTTTTCAAGTTCTAAAGAATTTTGCTCAAAGTATGTTCATACAACATTATGTTCTAAAAGCTCTCTGACACTGTCCTTATTTTGTAAGATGTCAGATCTTTAGACCTTCCTTGATGCTTAAGGTTTCCTTGGAAACAATGGATGTCAGATATCTCTTTGGAAACAGTGAAACAATGACGTTTCCTTGAGAGACCTAATTTTTTTTCATTTCACAGTAGGCTGAGACAGTTGTTATCACAAGCTGTCATCGATGCCAGAAATAATTTTATTTGCTGGTCTTATCTATTTAGCGTTTTGATGATAAAACTGAGACGATTTGTTTCGTTTTCTTTCACTAAACAATGAAAAGTAATGTGTTTGCTTCCTCGAATTACAGCACAATCACAAAGAAGTAAGAAACTGAATATAGGCAACCAGTTGAACCGAACTGCTCTGCTTTATATTATTATAAACTATAATGTGTGACTATGAAAAAAAAGTTTTGCGAAGAGAGGATGCATTTGATCAAGAAACTAGATAAATTTAAGGATCGTTGAAAATGAAAACAGTTAGCAGCACTAGCGAGGAGAGGATGCATTTGATCAAGATACTACACAAATTTAAGAGGATCATTGAAAATAAGAACAGATAGCAGCAGAGTAGTTCGATGAAACTGGTTGCGTCTATTCAGTTTTTTACTTCTCTGTGATTGCGGAAGCAAACACATTATTATTTTAGATTGCTTATTGATGTATTTAGCAAAGAAGGTGTATAAATCTGACTCTTAGTCATCGCAAGACAGTTCTGAGTACAACCTTGTCAATTTCTTGAGTCTTGGAGTATTACGCGCACAATGCATGTTTGACACTCGGTATTATCTATCCTAGATAGCAAAAATCCAGCCTGAATCCTTCAAATGACTAATATATCTACTTTGAGATGCAAACGTATTCGAAAAGTTTGATCAATAGTATTTCGTTAACCTTAAAATTTCTTGACACAAAATTTCCATTTTCGTCACCCGTTGTTACAAGCAAGCGAAAATTTGGTGCACTGTTGTGATTTGAGATGCTGATTGTGATAATGGCCATCAAAAATCGCTAAATCAGTATAAAAATGAGAGTTGCAGGCTTTTCGCCGATGTCGGCAAAAAACTGAAACGATGATCTACGCAACCGGATTTAACCAGGAAACGTGCACGTTTATTGAGGAGAGCAGAAGCTACTTGGGCGCGAGACGATGTCTCTCAAAAATGCTTGGTATTCAGCTATCTGTTTCTGACTTTATTGTCGAACTCGTCGAATATTGTTGGTTCACATCTTTATAATTC